ATATTATTTACTTCAACTAAATCGGTAATTATTAATTTACTATTTTCTAACTAAATTTAGAATTTAAAATTGTAACTTTTTTGGATGTTAGTATGCAATATTTTAGATATCAAGTCAAAATATCATTACTTGATATGTTTTGGTATGTGTGACATTAAGTTTTTTTTTTGGATTAAACTCATCTTTTGGTTTTAGGTTAATAATTATTATACGATGTTGTGATTTTTGTTGTATTAAATTAAATTTCTTTTGATTTTAGGTTTATTGGAAATATGTGAGATTTAAATATGTATGGTCTCTTACACATCTGATTTAAAATAACTTACAGAAACAAGAAAAAATTCCTCATTTCCCCATTGGGGATGCCCATTCCCCATTAGGGCTGGGGATATGATCGTATTCCCCGGTTAGGATGCGAATGGGGACGGGGACGGGAAGGAGATGGGGATTTAGGTCATCGCCCCATTCACATGCCTAATAGTTATCAACAAGCATATCATGTACCTTGTCAAATATAACTTATAGTGATAGACCCAGGATTTTTACTGAGTGGGTGGACCTCTAAGGTAAATCAAAGCCTCACAACGTTGTTCGATGCGTTTTTAGCCTAACTGCACTGTTTTGAGGGATTTTTTTATGTTTTTGTTGTTAATTTCGACAGATTTTTGCAGTTTTTTGGTTGATTTAAAAGATCTTGTTGGTTTTTTGGTTGATGATCCTTGTATCTTCTAACATCCTGAAATTCCCTTTAAAGTTTAGAGGATGCACATTTTATACCAAAAAAATTATACTTGTGAAAATACGTTGAGTATGTGCACGGGACCCTGCTCGAGCCCTCCATTGATATAACCCAAATCAACCAAAATTATAAAATAAAATATTAACTGTATTTTTGTACACATCAAAATGTAAATAAAAAACTTACTTCTCGTGAGACAAAACAAGTTGTATTTATATTTAATTTTGACCAATATTCAGGAGCGGAACATAAGCCTTATAACCTTGTGGCCGAACCTGATCTCTTTATATAAATGGATCACATAAATAAGACAAAAAAAAATTAATGAAATCTTCAAACATTGTTCATCAAACTGGAACTTGTCGACTTTTTGTGGCTTTCATATATTCTTCAAAGACTTTCAGCAATTTGTTTTTCAGTAAACAAAACCAGCGCAACCATTTAAAAAGTCACCTTCCATTTTATGTTGCATTTAAAGTCTTTGAACATTCAATTTAATGATACAAGTTAAACCAAGAAACTTAAAAACCGTGTTTATAAAGTTTTTGGTTCGGTTTTCATGATTCAATCTTGATCTACGTATCAATTATCAATCCGAAATAACAATTAACAAATTGTTTCAGTAACTAAAATCTAGTAAGTCTCAAAGTATTCAAACTCATAAACAATCACTAAAATATTTAGCCCTAATTATAACAACAAACAATATTTATTCCTAAATAATCCTTCCCCTTAGGCCCTTCGCCACTGCAAATACTGATAGATATCTAATTTAACATAGATATGTTTGTAGACGAAGCATTATATGAGAATATGAGTTAAGGTGAGAAATGTAAGAAGGGATTTGAACTTTTAATCACTTTTAATCCCCAAACAACCCATGAATTGCGTTTTAGAAGGGAAACGATCCAACATTGGATTCTCTGAATTTACGTTTTATATCTTTTTTTTATATTGATTATCGATAAATTTATTCATTTATTTGTAATTAGTTAACATTTTCGGACATTTTAACATAAAAATGAGCCTAGAATTGCGATAACTATTTAAAATGTGGGATCAACATCGAAAGATTTGTTAAACAGCATGGTAACAAAACTTTCCGTCAAATAAATCGAGGATCACTCAAAGCTTTAATATTTGTCGAAATAAGTTTGAATATTTGAGTAATCTTGCTTTTGACAAGACATTAGGAGAAGGATCGGTCGAAGACCGATTTTGTGAAGGCATGGACGCCCAAACTTGCTTCCAAACTCTTCCGTAAGTCTTTACATGTTTTCTGAAAACTATAGTTGACTTCTTAAAAACCAAAAAGTTGAATAAAATTGGTCTTGTACAGAACCGATTTCGAACCATTAGGCTCATATCGGTCTTATGGTTTGAACAAAAGACTAGTAAAGGATCATACAAGTTTTTTTTATTAACCTGGATATCCAACCCGCTATGCGAGCTGACTAATTCCAGAACGACCACCTGTTTTGCAGATAGCCCGAAGTCACCGCATTTGAACATCTGTGGCCACAAGGGAATTTTTATTCCTCCTTGAATTTGAACCTGAGACCTCCAAGTATTTTTGACCTTTGGAGTCAAACTCAAACTAACCAGACACCACCCTTGTGGTTGATCATACAAGTTCTTGGGATAACCAACTTTTTTTTTTTTGAAGCTAGGACCGAGTTCAAGAAGATCAAACCAATTACCAACTTACACTGATTATTGTGTATCTATAATCGAAACTATATTTATGAATCGACTCATATGATGTTCCCATCCCCTTCTTGTACATCTGATATCCACCTACGTATAGAATACAACAAATCAATATTTTGGAAAATCTATCTTGTAGTTAGGGTGTTATTTGTTCGGTTTATTTGGCTTTCAATATTTTTCGAACTAATTGGTGATCGAATCAATTATCAGGTAAACCCAATAAAGTTTTTTTTTTATAAATTCCTTTTGTAATTTTTAAGAAAATTATAAATATATAATTAACTTTTTAAATATAAACTTGAAAGTTGGAACTATAAAATAAGATAAGAGAAAAAGTATAAATATAATTAATATTTTCTTTAAATTTAAAGATGATTTATAAATGTAAAATTTGAAAAAATAATTTGATTATTTATTTGGTTTAATAAAAACCGATAACTGAAATAGAAAAACTGTAAACCAAATAATCTGAATCCTTTAATCCAAACTTTATTCGATTCCGGGGTTTTTTTTACACCCTTTGCTATACAAGTCATTTAGGTTGTGTTTGGTACATGTGACTACCGTTATAGGATGGGATAAAACTCATTGTTCCATGTTTAACGTCATATCGGACAGGACAATAACTCCCTGTCTCACGTTTGGTGTGACATATAGGTGGAACAAGATGCGACAAGAATGAGACATAAAATTAAATATTACCTAATTAACTCTCGTTTGATATATATAACCTTAACATAGTATCTGTTTTGGTGGTCACCACCGTTTGTTGCGGCCGTTGCCGCTATCGGTAGCCACCGTCGGCCACCTCCACCACCTCCACAACCATCATTTGACCACTAACCACCACTGTCTATCACTACCTTCACAACCAGTATCGGCCACCAACCACTACCATAGTTAGCCATCTTCTCTTCTACTACAACAACCTCTTTCACCGACCACCACCGTCCATTGCCACCACCACCACCACCGTTGGCCACCTCCACAACCATTGTTGGCCACCGATCAACACCGTTCATCGCCGCCACCATGGGCTACCTCACCTCCACCATAACCACCACCACTAACTACCATTATCACTGCCCACCAACACCATTGGCTACCACTACCACCGTTGGCCACCACGATCGGCTACCACTACCATTATCTACCATATTCACGTCCTCTACAACCACCACCGTCCATCTCCACCACCTCTAGTATCGTTGGCCACCCCACCTCCATCATAACCACCACCACCACTACCTACCATTACATATATCTACTTCCACTACATAGGTCACAACTACCTCCTCCACCACTATCCATCATCTTCACATCCTCGACAACCGTCAGCGTTCACCAATTTCCGATGCTTCTACCTCCATAGTCATTGTTGTTGCAACAATTTTTACCATGTCTTCTCCAATCGATAAGGATCTTCTAAACCGAATAAAATATAATTTATTCTTTGTAAGAATCGAGTTTTTTCAAACTACTGTCAATTATATAAAAAAAATTCATTAAATTTGGTACTATTTTATATTTATGTACATGAAAATTGTGTAAAAATATTTATAAATTAAATTATTACTTTATTTGTGTTAGTTATAACTATTATATGATAAATAAAATCATAAAATAACTTTTGAGTACAATTTGTCTAGTTCTGTCATGTTCAGTCCTAGTCGTACCAAACACTAGACAAACATTTGTCATGTCCAGTCCTACCCTCTTGTATTGTTCAATCCTGTACAATCATATATGCATACCAAACGCTACCTTGAGATTTTTAGTTAAATGAAGGGCATTTTGGTCAGATGAGATAAATAACAAGGGTACTGTAGTCATTTTGGTATCCGAGCATTTTCTGTCGGGTTTGCTGTTCAATTTTAGGGCGGAAATACAGAGTAACCAAGGGTTAGCTCTTACCACAGTCGAACAGTGAACGATCGTTTGATCTTCGTCGCTATGGGAACCTTAGGGAGAGCAGCATACACAGTTGGATTTTGGATCCGCGAAACTGGACAAGCCATGGATCGTCTCGGTTCTCGCCTCCAGGGCAACAACTACTTCAAGGAGCAACGTATGTATTAAATCATCACTAACCCTAATTTTTCGTTTCTTTATCTCTTTCAATTTCGGTTTATATCTTTATGAAGAATTTTAATTTCTTGATGATGTGATCCTCAACGTGTTCAGATATAGGTGGATTATTGCTGGAAGATAATATTAAGAATAGATGTATCTTATTGCATTTATGTATTTTACATGAATATATGTTCAATTACGAATTGAGAAATGAAATGTTGGTCGTTTTAAACAGGGTTGATGGTTATTTGAAATAAGGATTTTTCTAACCCAAAAGCTAGTCTGAATTTAACTTCTAGAAGGAACTTCAAAAACATTTTTTTTGACAATAGTAAGCAATGGTAGAAGCAATTGCATTATGGTGTCATCCTTGCACTTAGAGAACGGGTATATGTTATACTACTGTTTGAGATACAGATAAAATTAACTGATGGTGCAAGAAAACAATAATATCTTTCAGAAATAGGAAAGAAGTGCTTGACTTTTCAAACTATGGCATTTGATGCTGATCAGATGTGTCATTGAATTTGATTTGACATATGCTTAGGTTTCTTCCTTCTATAATATATACATTATAATCTTTTTGTATCTTGACACATTCATTTGCTTTCATAATCACTAATGGGCTACTATATCCGTTGTTTTGTTACACTACATTATAATCTTTTTGTATCTTGACACATTCATTTGCTTTCATAATTACTAATGGGCTATTATATCCGTTGTTTTGTTACACTAAATATCCTTTCATTTTTCTATTGGAACTTCTTCCTTTTGTAAAGAAACTTGTCAATGATCATATTTTTAAGTTTATTATTACCATTTGTTTCTCCCCAAATTAGCATGTTTGCTAATATTCAAGATTCTATGGGCTTAAACTTGCTTTGAATCACTCTAGTCAGGTTCTTATATTTCTAGACAGTGTCCAGGCATCGATCTCTTATGAACGTGTATGACAAAGCCCCTGCTGTTGATAAGGATGCGTTTGTTGCCCCAAGTGCTTCTATCATTGGGGATGTCAATGTAGGAGCTGGATCATCTATTTGGTATGGATGTGTTCTGAGAGGTAATGCTATGGTGGCTGTTATTTTTATGCACTCTATTAGTCTTATATTGTCCTTGAGCTGTATTTTTTGGAATGAGTAGCTTTATTTTTCTTGTTCCTATATAAACTTTTCATGTGCAAAATTGGTTTAATATTTACATTCAAATACTTGTAGTACATATGTTTTGCTTAACTAATATGATGCATTAGAGACCAAAATAATATAACCATGCTTGCATAATTATGTCAAATCAACAATATATATAAATGTTGCTTTTAACTTTTTCATACTACAAATAGGATGAGCTACTTCATTTGGGGTTTCGTTTTATAATGGTATTAATATGATAGGAACTGTTTTTCTAAAACAGGCTATGGTAGGTTGAAACATCTATATAGTTGTAGATAAATTGACCAATAACAAAGTGGGCAAATAAGATCCAAAATTTGGATCTTATCATAGGTTCGTGTTTTTTTTATAACAAGTCGTCTTATCACTGTATATAACTCATTTCCATAACATGTTATTATCAAGGATGTAAAACCCAAATGTTACGATAAATGTAGATTTTACACTTACAGTTGTCTACTTGAAAGTGAGTTCATTTAGGGGCTTGTTTGTTTTTTGAGAAATCTTGTACGGGTTCCAACACTATGGCAACTTTAAATCTTTATTGGCCTGCTATGTTATTGTAGGAAGATGCATATCACACATGGAAATTAGAATGAGTGAAGACTGTGAAATTTAACTATACATCCATGAGGGATGCAAGAAATGGTTAGGACAGATAGGAAATCCTTTAGCCGCTGGTTTCGACAATGAAAATTATATTCCCTGATGTCTCCTCCATCCATACGTATTAAAGAAGACTAGAGCTGCAATGAACAAATATTTACCCAAAATCCATACAATATTGGCTATAGTGCCATATTTACCACCTTTTTCTTTTCATTCTATAGCTTCTGTAAGGAAGGAAAGAGGGGGTGGGGGAATGAGAAAGCAAGAAAAGATGTGTTTGGGTGTGGCCCACTTCAAGTCATATTTGCTCAACTTCTTGGAGAAAGATATTGGGATTGCAGCATTACTCATTACCATAAAATTAAGTAGGGATGAACTAGAAATGAAGATGATGTACAACCATTTTTACAAGTCTTCTTGCATCTTATTCAGAATGGCAACACAACAATAAGGTTGACTTCATCAGACATATTCTATGTAGGGATGAGGATTGGTTTTAGACTCTTCTACACTGCAAAGAGAAACTTTGGAGTCGAATGAATGTTCCATGTCAATTGTGCAACCATGAACCATCCAATGTTAGTTACGGACAACATGTAAAGGGAAAAGGGGAACTGAACTACTAGTTAAGCCACACTCACACTTAAATGCACCATTTACAGAAACTGTAGCCACTTTCCATGGAAAAGACATATGTTCCTCTTTTCTTTTATATTCTTCCGAGAGTGAGCTACCCTCTTTTCATTTCTTCCATGTCTTTCCTTTTCTATAACTTACCCTGTCAACTCCTATATCTCTTCCTCCAAAGTATATGACAGGCTCCTTAGCTCCTCTCCGTCTTTCCTTTCTTCACTTAGTGGAAATGATCCATTATTGATCCCTCATTTTTCTCATTGGAATTTGGATAAATACCAATATGAATTGAAACAACCTAATTAATTCAAGTGAATACAATAATTACAAATGAAATATTTAAAAATCACTGATAGGAAATGATGTGTGGATATTCAAGACATACATACTTTACTTTCTGTATTGTTCGCCCTTTGCTATCTTTATATTTGTTGTTCTAGCCTATTCTTGAAATGCTGGCCCTAGCTTGCACCAAATAGATGTTGGCCTTGCATTCTAGCTTGTAGATGTTTCATAATCATCATAGTGGGTATGGTTTACTTGGGTGATTTGTTGGAGTTGATGATTATATTTTGTTTACATTGTTTTTCTTCATGTACTTCCTTTTTATTTAATGGAAAATCTTATTCAATATTTTTCGCCAGAATAAAGTGTTATGGCTAGATTTTTCAACATTTGACCATATGGTTGGCTCGAGTTCTTGTTTCACCTTGGAGGCGAGGAACTAACTAATACTATGCTACTTTCTTTCCCATTTATTTCAAATATGTTCTTCAAATTAGGTTTTCTCAAATTTTCCCTAACAAGTAAGTTTAAGTATTGGCTTCAGGAATTCATTGTGGATTTTCACAAATTTCTCCTAGGAAACATGAGTTTTTTTAATTTTGATACTGGTCAATAGAATTAAATTACTGGGTTTAATTCTTTTGTCGGTGATGAAAGAAGATTTAATCTATACGTGGAGGAAGGTGGTGGGGATGGCACATTGCACACTAATAGGATAATATCTTCAAGGTCTCTCCTGAAGGTCTATGGTCATCGATGTCGTGTTGCTAGTGATCATTATTTTCTTTTAGAAAACATATATGAGGAATATAGTGACTGTTTTTTATCTCTTGGGTAATACATCTAAGAGTCATTCACCATCTGAAGGAATAAACTAAAAATGGCCTCCCTCCAATGAATCATATTAGCAGTTTTGCATGGAATCAGATTACTTCATAATGATCAATTACATTCCATAATACAATCAAACGGTTTAATTTCATTCATTAGGGAAGGCGTCAATTCATTCCAGATTCATTCTGTCCTACCAAACACTACATTACTCTCTCTTAAATCTGAATTTCATCCAAAGCTGGATTTTGTAAAATTACATTGCCATATGCTTATTCAATGTTAGCATCCCTTTTTCTCTTCTATTCTCTCTTAGAGTTTCCGTATTCAGCAAATGATGTGTATATTTTTAAATGTTTATTGATGTGGATCACAAGTTAGAGCAATGCAAGCTGAAGACAATCTGTATGCTACAAAATGATGAGTTTGACACAATTAAGCTCAACTCCCTAACAAATAGTTAGGTATGTGAGTAATCTAAAATTAAACATCATAGCATATCTACAACACTCATAAAGCATTATTTTTGTTTGTTCTACGGCAATTACCTCTATTCACTCTTTGAAAGAGAATATATCCTTCCCGCATTCAATCAATGTCATATTTTTTTGTAGTTCTAGCAAGTAGTAGCACTCAGTGTCAGTGATAATCATTTTTGAAGCTTGCATACTTACCGAGCATACATCCTTTTGTGCTTTAGGTGATGTGAACTCCATCAGTATTGGTTCTGGCACTAATATACAGGACCACTCACTTGTCCATGTTGCAAAATCTAACCTACCTGGGAAGGTGCTGCCTACTGTGATTGGCGACAATGTGACTGTTGGTAAGTAATGTTGTAGTAGCTAGTTTTTGTATTTTTTATCAAGAATAACTTGATGAGGCTCTACCATTAGATGTTTTGATAGTGAACCAAATTCATATACGCAGGTCATAGCGCTGTTTTACATGGATGCACTGTTGAAGATGAAGCATTTGTTGGCATGAAAGCTACACTGCTTGATGGGGTAGTAGTAGAGAAACATGGCATGGTTGCTGCCGGAGCCCTTGTACGACAGGATACAAGAATTCCCAGTGGCGAGGTTCATCTCTCTCTCTCTCATGCACACCACTCATAATTTTAACATCATTGATATCATGTGTGTATGAAACTTCACATAATGAAAGTTATAGGAATCAATATTCTAACCCCCATGCTTAGTCCTTGTGTGTGGTATATTTGGTGTTAGATAGCATTTTTGCCTGTCGTATATATGATAATGGTAATGGTCTAGCTATTGTGGAGAAGGGATTACCCCTTTATTATTCACAAATAGTTCACCGGTAACCTTGAGGGCCAGTTCAACCGGCAAATAAAGGCCAAGAGCTGCTGCCAATAGGTCGTCAGTTCGAGTCTTTTCAGGGCCACAGGGATTTTCCTGACTGTTATGTCCATAGCCCCATTGGATTAGTCGAGGTACACACAAGTTGGCCCGAAGACCACAGTTACTAAAAAAAGTAGATCACTGACGGGATTTTCAATTGAACTCTTAAATGTGCTCTCTGATCAGTGTGCATACAACTATCTCCCCAGAATTTATATCTTTTTTCTGTTGTTTATGTGTTAGACAGATTGCATGCTCGTGTTGGTATTCATATCAAGTGAATCATACTGAGACAAAACATGAGCACTCCTGTTGAAATTGGAAACAACGGCCAATAGTTTCTTATTTCGTGCCCTGAATAAATATCCATTACATGTTTTTCAGCTGTTTTATTCGTATATGGCTTTTCTTCATTAACTTGCTGCCATGCCGCTTTATACAACTGTCATGCTTGCCTCTTTGAACTTCTGAAACACCTTTCCATTTCACTTACTCCCTCCACATTTCTACTTTAGCTTGTCCCAAAATAGAATAAATTACATTTTCGTCCTTGTGGTTCGTTAAAAATTGCAATTTTTATCCTTGTGGTTTAGAAACTGCGTTTTCGTCTCTACGGTTTGTAATTTATTTTCTATTTCCGTCCTTATAATTTACAATTTATTGTTGTTTCGGTCCCTATGGTTTACAATTCTTTATTGTTTTAGTCCCTTGTACTTAAAGGTAGGAATTAGTCCAGGGAGGAAAATAGCAATAAATTGCAAACCATAGGGGCTAAAATCACAATTTCTAAACCACAGGGACGAAATTTGTAATTTACTCCCCAAAATAAGTTCAAAAGTAAGTGCTACTGGCACTAGCTACTTTCCAATTCTACCATTAATTATGAGAAGTAGAAATTCATTACTCCCTCTATTTTAAGTGTAAAATTGTCATTCAGTTAATTAAAAAAAGGTAACAATTAGATATTTCTAAAACCGTGCCTTTTTTTCATTGTGGTCATTTATTTTTGGGATGGAAGGAATATAATTTACAATGCATCAAAGCTTAACGGTTGTAGCCAACAGGTATGGGGAGGTAATCCGGCCAAATTCCTTCGGAAGCTTACAGAGGAAGAGATAGCCTTTATTTCCCAGTCGGCTGCCAATTATGGCAGCCTTGCAAAAGTTCATGCTGCCGAGAACGCAAAGCCCTTGGACAAGATCGAGTTTTTGAAAGTACTACAAAAGAAAGTGAACGAACCCAGATCTCTGCTTCAGTCATGATTTTGGTAAGGCACGAAAAAACCGAGCATTAGTTTGTTGTAAGGTAGTTGTTTTTTGCATCTCCTGAATGCTTCATGTTTTATGAAAGCACATATACGGACAATGCAATCTTCCTTACATTACATATTTGGTCATTGTCCTTTTACAAATAAGATGATGGTATTGATTTGAACTGCAAGATCGCTTACGAGTACTTCTATACTCTCTGCGTCCCAAAATAAATGTTGATGATGAAATAAACATAGACATAGTGTTAGAAATGCGTAATTAGTGCCATAACAAAATGACTATTTTATCCTTAATAATAGATGGGGTAATTTCTCCATCGCATAATTAATTCTAAGTTCTGAAAAGAACATTTATTGACTAAAATTTTGTATTATGGGTCATTTACCTAAATGCTTATTCGATAAGATTCGACACTTTAATTTACTTTATCGAATAAGATTCGACACTTTAATTTACTTTATCGAATAAGATTGCAGTCCATTAAAATGGTATTACATACAACAATTTACTCGGTAAGTGTAGTCGTCAACCTCACTTGCTAGATAAGACTCTACATTCTTATTATTGCTCTTCTCATGTAAGATTTTCGTTTTTTGGCATGTTCATCTATTATATGGTAAGCGTTTACCAAATAAGTGTTTATGTATGCGTCGTCTTTAGTTAACTTATTGTCTAAAAGCAAGTTATTTTTTGGGGGAGGCTAATGGCACCCCTATGGGTTACCATTGGCACCCCTAATTAGCCTTCAAATGATTTGTTTTATGTTTTTTTGTGTTTTTTTTGTCCTTTAGTTATTATTAGTTTTTATTTTATTATTATTTAAAGAAAATTATTAATTAATATATATTATTTATTTTATTTTCTGTT